TGTATCATACACGCATTCTCTCGAGTCTCCAATGGTCCACACGGTATGCCAATCACACGGATTTTCTGATACAATGTAGCTACTAAAGGTCGACGGTCAAAAATGTCCTGAACAATGTCAGTTGCGCATGCCGTGATGATCACTCATTAACATGAAGTGCAGGGTTAAGCCAACAGGAGGGAGCCAACAGGAGGGGAGAAAGGCCGACTTCACAAGCAGGCACTCGGGGGATGATGGAGGGAAGTTGTAACGAGCAGAGCGACTTCGACTGGCTTTTTAAGGTAGTTGGGGGATGAAACCTGCTGCCGGGAATGCTGAACGCCACTGACGAGCGATGACGGTCATGGGGAGTCCGGAAGGTCATGTGTATAGAAAGCACGTCTGCCCCGAGCGAACGACTCTAGCAGTTGAATAGAGGTTAAATGGACATTTTAGCAAGAGGTTCAACCGCCGTTCGTTCAACTTGTAGTGGAACTGCTTTAGATCCTGGCGGAATTTTTCCGGATTCGTTCAAATTCAATCTGCCGTTCGCCTTGGGCTAACTGAGGCTCTGGCGGTGTAGACCTCGCATAGAATCCAATATTACCTGGATTATAAGCCTCTTACCCCGGCTTACTTACCCTACTTATCTGCCCCATTGTCCGCGCCAGGCAGTACTTACTGTTACATAACAGGCGGGACGCGGCCACGGCGCTTCCTCGTTCATCCCTCTCCATTACCTCGACGTCGTCCACCATGGCTCCCCGCCGAAACCGCTCGACATCCAACGCCCAACCCCCCTCCAATCACCAGAATGTTTTACCTCCATCACAACGAACACAAACCCCAGGATCCGTTGCGCAACGCCAGCTCGGAAATGTGATGCCCGCCGTCTACCAGAGCAATATGAAAGTCCTCTTGCGGAGGGAGCCCTCCATCACTGGCATCATCGACCAATTCAGCCATGTATGTTTGTACAACTATAACGGACAGAAATGGGAGAGACATGGATACGAAGGAAGCATGTTTTTGTACGAGAAGTAAGTTCGATTACCGACTTTGCAGCCACATATACTCATCAAATTGGTGCAGGTCCAGCTACCCGACATATGGGTTTTACATCTTGAATCGCATGGGTACCGACGATTTCATCCGACCAATCTATCCGGAGGACGACATGGAAATCATGGGGGATTACCTTATGTACCGCTTTTACCCCGACTTCACGAAGACCCGCCTCGACTTGGGCTTGCCATATCCTATCCCAGAGGAGCACCGTGCTACCTTCGATGAAGAGCTTTTTAGACGCATTCCTCCCGAAGAACGCGAGAAAGAGCGACCGAAGAAGGGACGATCCATCATTCTCGGCCTTTGGATGTATTCAACCGACTCTCGAGAACCTCTCAAGGAGGTCATGATGCGGTATGTTCATGTTCCCAATATTCCTAGAACTGTACAGGATTCCGTACGTCATGGCGATGCTGCTGTGTGTGCATCCGCTGTACGCGCTCTTTATTTGCTTCCCTCGCGGGCACTTCACTGTCTTCTCAGAACATTGATCAGGAGCAGCGACTCACCTTTTAATGCAGACTCCATTCGTACGTGAAGCGGAATCTACCGTACCCGGAGGAGTTCAAACATGGTTCCGGTCGTCCACCACCCAATGTCCATTTACGTACTCCGAGCGGGTCCCAAATGCCAACATTAGGTTCGTTCTCTCGGTATCACATCTCTCAGGCAGCTGCTCAAGGACGGCGCAGACCAAGGCGTAGCACCACAGTACGCTCACGCGAATGGTACTATGTATCACCAATCGCAGCCGCAGCTCCCATCGATGGCTCAAGCTCAACTTGCAAGCGCTGGTGCAGCATCAGAGCTTGACAAACTGTTCGCCAAGCTTATTACACCTTCTGCCTCTTCTCAGCTTCCTACGGCTCCCTCGACGGGCCCTCCAGCTGGGAAGTCGATCAACGACCTCTTTGCTGCTTTGGGTGGACAGACCATGGCTGCGAGCGCTTCTCCGCAGCCCCAGCCAGCACTCCAGCCAGCCCCTGCCGCAGTGCCAGAACCCCCTCCCTCTCGTGGCCTTGCTCTTCTAGACTCTATTTTTGCCTCGGCAGCGGGGTCTTCGGTCAGTCTCAGCGACGCCGCTGCGCCGTCAGCGGCCGTCCCGCCCCATCCGGAAGAGATGACTATCGTGTCTCCTAAACCGACGTCCAGCGCGCTCCCTCAAATCCTGAACCAAGACGTCATCTCTACCCTACTTGGCCTTTCTGACTCGCGCGCCTCTTCTGCTGCACCCAGCTCTGCCGGTTCGCGTCGCTCACAGCAACGCCGATACGAGGGCGACAATGAGTACAGCGAAGGCGACGGTGTCTCGGAAGGGGTACCGTCTAGATCAAACACTGTCGACGCCGACGCCAAGGCCCGCATGGCCAACGTCCCGACGTTCTCTGTTCAGCCCGCTGCGTCTTCAGAGTCTGAGGACGATGGAGCAAGACCCACGAGCTCGCGTCGCGTGCCCGGGGATGTCACGCCTCGTCCACCCGCTGGCGGTATGCGCCTGCCTCCCACTTCACCGCCCCATGCCAAGCAGCATGGGCCCAATGCGACGGCTTCTATCTCTGCCACCAACCTGAACGGCCAGTCGAACGGTGTGATTCAACCTGGCACTCCTTCATCTGCCCCTCGCGAACGCCCCCTCATCCCATTCGAAGCCAACTCTGAGCTTTGGCCCTATCCTCGCGCACCTCTCGACGACCGTTCGTTCGAGAACGATGACGTTGTAGAGCTCGACTTCACCGACACCCGTGCGCTCAGCGACCCGGCACTCTTCTCTTCGCGGCTGAAGGAGAAGCAAAAGAAGGGCAAGGGCAAGAAGAGCAAGAAGGAGCGCGAGGCGGATCAGGCGCGCGAGCGCGCTGAGATCGACAAGAGCTGGGACATGCCCGCGGCGAATGGGCAGGACAAGACCGCGCATCCCCACTCTACTACGCCAAACGCCAGTCTCTCGACCACTCATGCAAACTCAATCAGTGCTGCAGTCGATGCAGCCAAGAGCCCCAAGCAGGCGAAGAAGGTCTCCACGAACGGGACTAAGGACGTCGCTGCTCCCCAGTCTAACGGTCACAGTCGCAACGGAACGCTGGATAGCGTCGCTGCGAAGGAGGCCGTGCTCTCCGCGGTAGCCGCCAAAAGAGTCGCGGGCGGCCCATCTATTGCAAAGAACGACTTCGTCCGGGAGCTCCTCACGCTCATTCATGTAAGTATTGAACCTTCCCATAGTATGTCGTGTGTCTAAACTTCTGTGACAGACTGACTCGCAGTTCGCCGAGGGCCTTTGGAAGGACTACTTGGCACGATCAGCGTAGAATCCACCCTACGCACTCCACCCTCATTTTTGTGAACGATATCGTTTGTCTGCACCAGTGCAATTTTGACTGTATCCACTACGTACTACATGCTAGCCTTCCCGCTCGCCCCGCAATGTGGTTTCCCAGTAGATCATCGCTACCTATCACAGTATCTTGTTGTCACCATATCTGCTCTACACCGCCGGGTCTGACAGTTCCAAATCGATGTGTGGTTGACACCTCATGCAGAGTGTTGCAACAACATTCATATCGCGTCAGACTGCTACATTGAATCGTTCCTAGGCCTGAGTCCTCCGAACCCTGATGAGTGGTCGTAAAAGCTTGATGATGGGCAGCACGTGGACGGGGCAAACGCGCCCACGTGATTGTAACACGCGTCGGGGCGTCATGGCTCTTAGCCACCACCGTCTTCTCGACCAGGCTTAACTTCCAGTTCACCGCGATGTTGCATATTACATAGAGCGCAGAAGCAATTCCAACACAGTATAAAACCAACGAGTAGAAATAGAGATACATCAATCCGATACTTCTCCAGCTTTGCGTCTCCTGATTCATCCATCCATTTCATGCTTTGACCCCCCGCCTCGCCGCTTTGCCTCGCCGCTTCCTGCCTTTCTTCTTCTCCGATTGCGTTGAGGTCGTCTGAGTAGCATTGAGCTTCTCACTGCTAGCTAGTACGTTGGTCTTCGCCATAGATGCAGCGGTTTGAGATCGCGTCCGCCTTCGAAGCGGCGACGGAGCGGGCTTAGCCGGAGGTAGCTTGATTGTGAGCTTCGGGGCCAACTTCCTTCTCCACTTGAAAGGGAGGTTGGAGTGAGACGGGGCCCCTTCAACAGCAGACTTTGGAGTGGGGTCGACAGGAGGAGACGGCGCAGCGGCAATAGCACGCTCTGTAGAGGGAAGGATGTCCGGCACCAGTTCAGGTGCGAGTTTGCGACGCCAACGAAGGGGGAGGCGTGAAGGTGAGGTGTGAAGTGTGGTGGTAGTGTCCATCTTTACTCCCCTAGTGTATAGAGAAGAGATGAGGACGGAGACGTTGGGATATGTCAGGGTGGCTAAGAGCCGGAGGTGAAGGTTAGCGAGAAGGAGGCAGCGCCCACTCGTCAGGCCCCAGCAAGCACGACCAACGCTAGGACCGGCTGTCCGGTACGGGGTTTCTGGCGGGCGGATCGCGATGGACATTTGGCACAGCATTGCATGGCTTGTGGGGAGTGCTGTAGCTGTCAAGCCCTCGACCTCGCTCTCATCGGGCGTTTCTTGTCAGTTGGGTAAATCGCGAAGGCAACTAAAGAAGAGTTTGTCGTGCACGAGCATCTGACAGGACATGACTATCATCCCATACAAATCGGAGCATCATGCTGACAGTCATCTGCGAGCGCACTTCAAATTGCAGTTCACAAAGTCACTCGTCTGTGCATGCCCGCGGCGTCGTGTGATCACTGGCACTTCACGCAGAATGTATATGGTAATCCTCCAGATTCATGATCATAGGCACAAGGGCTACAGCCTGACATTTGAGCGGACAGCAAGAAGTTGTCAGGTGCTTGTTCGGCCCACGGTGTCCAGTTGCAGATTCTTCAAATCAAAGAGACATTGTCAACAGGAATGCTGCAATCAACCGGCAGATGGATTCGGTTACAAAAGCATTGACGAGAGTGGGATTCGAACCCACGCCCTTTCGGACCAGATATGGAAACAACCTTAGTCTGGCGCCTTAGACCGCTCGGCCATCTCGCCTTGAGATGCGACCCTTATGTACAACACATAGCAAAATGGCCTATCAACAAGTTGTCATTCATACGCCTGACGTCCTCTGTCGCGGCATTGTCAGCGTTTGAATGCAAAGCCTCAAAGGAATGTACTTGACCTGGATTTGGATGGATGGCATCTGTAGAGGATGGCCGTTCGTATGCTTGTGACAAAACTCAAAAGATCCCTTTTTGAGCATTGACTTCGAAGTTACTAGGCAAAACAACTCTCTGTCGGGGAGTCGAACCCCGCTTTCGCGCGGCCAGTAAGACATGACAGGCGCGTGTACTAACCGATATACTAACAGAGACTTGTCAATAAGGAGCTAACATTTGACCTGTTCAAATCCATGCTTGAATATACATGTTTTTGAAGTGGAAGAGTCAGGAGGATCGACGCATCGAGGCATTAAGCGGCGAACCACGACAGTTGCCATATGCGGATTGACTACGGAACGCCGCAGTATGATTGACGCAGATGGCACGGCTTGGCTTCGAAGTAACATTTGACCTCGTTACAGCGAAGGCACTACCACCATGGATAGACAGGTATGGAGAGGCCCAAGAGGCCTTTTAGTACCTCAGCGTGTCAAAAATTTTCATGGAATGCTTATTCTTGCGGGCTTGAGCGTCGTCGTGACGGACGGAGCAAATCCTCTGCGCAGCTTGCTACCGCAGTAAGGATGGTTCTCATCGAATGCGCTCAAAGCCAAGCACGGAGCTTCAGTTGATCATGTCTTATGTTTCTTTACAACTTCTACCGAACACTAGTCAATGACATACAGCTGCGGTCATTGCACGGTGAACCTGTTGCTGTAGCCGTCTGGGCGATCTCACTAGCCTCGTCATGGCGCGTGATATCTCTCAACTATCTTCGCCCTCGGGTTAGGGTCTGGTACCCGGGCACGCTCAGTCTCACTCGGACTTCAGGTTCGCGACATCCGATGCGATAATCAATGATCCAAGACGCGACGAGAGATGTACAGGCAGACAGCATCAGAAAGGCAGGATTTCAGGATGGGATGACACAAAGTAGACGGAGTGATGTCGATGGAGTAACTATGAGAACATGTGAGCGAGAGAGTGTGTAAGGGAGAGCAGATTGTATCCTAAGCGATGTACAAATAGCAAGTGGGAATGGCGTGGCTGTCGTAAGAAGTCGTGGCGTGATAGAGAATTGTAGAGGTGTGCTACCAACCCGAAGTGTCGGCTTCGACGCGTTCTGCAGATAGCGGCGCATTAGCTGTTTGCTCTATAGTTTGTCATAGTACAGGAAGGTAACCTACAGGTGACCTCCATACGGCTTAGAAGCCTCCCGTGCCATCGTTTACGAGGTCCTCAGGCAGGCCGAATGCAGGAGAGAAGCCGTTGGCCCAGTTGGGCTCCTCGTCCGAAGGCCGCTGAGTTGTGTACCCGTTGAAAGGGCGTAGAGGAGGGCGAGGGTGGGAAGGGCTGGGTCTGCCTATGAAAGCGTGAGCCGGGCCCATGTTCTCCTTGTTACTGGCCCGAGCAGGCGCGGCGGCGGGGGCAGGGGCAGGGGCGGGGGCGGGGGCAGCAGGTTGGTGCCAGGGGTTGGGGTTGGCGGGAGCCTGGGCGACATTGAACGCAACAGTCTGGGTGGCCATAGTATATGGTGTGGAGTTATAGGTACGATTCGAGGAGAGGAATGCAGGTGGCCGATGCGCTCGGTGGTCGTGGTAGGTGGTAGTGGTAGTGGAAGGCGGAATCCGGGGGTGCACCCGTGTTTTGATCTGCGCGCCTAAGGACCTGTCTCCCCCCGCGGACCGTGTCACGGTCGCATTTCCACCTACGGCAAAACCCCCCGGGTACTCCAGACGCTGGAGAAAGTCCTATCAGCGAGCACGTTCAATTTCTGCGCGGCGGCTTCTGGGGAAAGCAAGACGATGCATTGGGCGTCCGGCGCAAGGGGCCTTGGCACAGAGGCTTTGCCTCCGGTCGATCCGGGCATGCTGTCCATGCGCATTCCTGTCGTCATCCACCACAAAATGTCGACTCGTTAGCAGCCGGTACAAGAGGGTCCGTCGTCGTCCATTGGTGCGCGCTCAGAGCGAGGGACTTGCGGAGGAGAGGTATGGGAGAGTGGATTGTCCAGCGGGAGTTCTGGATGGGATTACAGGGAAGGGCCACGACGCCGGACCCAATGCAACAGCGACTACTCCAGGCGGGTCACTAGACATGTCCGGGGTAATCCTGTTGATGGAAGGAGGGTAGTCTGTCACGCATTGTATGTGCGCATGGTCTCTATGTTGCATCGCTGTTCTGGAGGCATGCAACACAGGTATGCCTCGAAGCTAATGCTTGGTGATGTCGCTGCTGGCTCACATGGTGCCCACAGGGCATCTGCGCAAATGGTGTATCAGCCATCACTCTTGGTCAGACAGTCGGAGCCCAGTGATGGACAACATGTACGGGAATGGGGTGGCATAAATTGAGGTACGTCTAGAACTATAGTATGCAGCAACTATTCATAACAAAGCGTAGTGAGCTACGCGCAGTCTGGCGTGACCAGCGACTCTACGAAGTTTAATAGGCAGCGATTACACTCCCGATCCTTGAACGAGAACGACAAAGCGGTTGGGAAAGCCGCAGCAGCAAATGCAGTGCCGCACTGAAGAACATATGCGACGTGCAGAAGAAGCATGACGCAACGGGGCGAGTGAGAAGCGGACGACGCACCTTTCCTCCCATGGCACGACGCGCAGGCGCGACATCTGTCATGGAAGTAGGGCGCCGCACGCTTCTCTTCTACTCGCACTATGTCGAAGAAGTATCTGCGGACTTCAACTCCGTAGGTGCTTGGTGAGCAGGGACCCTGTGGCGCTTTGACATTCGGAGTCTGGGTGGTCACTCCATGTGAACGAAGCGCAGGCGGGGAGCGCTTGGACTGGGGGAAGACTCTTCGACAGCATCTACACGGGTCAAGAAGTGAGTTCACGCACACATATGAGTGGACGGACAATGCGTACAGGTCACTGCGCTAGACATCCGCATTGGCCGAACAAACGCTGTGCTTTGCCCGCCACACTGAGCTCGCTCAGCACCGTTCGGCGCGTCAGTGGCAACATCACCTCCAACACCTCATCCTAGACACAGATGATGTTTCCAGCATTCAATGTGTATGTTATGCATCTTGGCTGCGTGCCCCGTATGTAGCGGAGCCCTAGGGCTCTACGGAGCATGAGCTCTTTGACGCCCCTATGCCCAATCGGGTAAGCGCCCGAGGTGCGTTGTTCCAAGCGCCTCTTGCAAGCATGGCTGAAGCGTGCCTTGACAAACGACAGATCCACAAAGCGCGACGCTTTGGCATAGTTCGCTAGCCATGGCACAAAGAGGTCAGCAAGAAAAGGTATTTCAGCGAACGATGCCAGACGAGGACGACATACCTCCCCCAAGACATTCGCCGTTCATTCTCCGTTAGCCATCAAGTGAGTGATTCTCTCTCTCCCGGTGAGTACGACGTGCTCTGTTGTGACGGTAGAATCTGACCAAGGGTGGCTCAGCTTCGCCAGAAATGCATACTTACAACACCAGAGCTAACGCGAACAAGCTCCGCGTGATCCACGAGCTCATAGCAAAAAAAGAGATCGCAGATGCCGAGCGCATCACGGTCACCGTCTCCGCCACTGGCCAAGGGAAGCACCTTAGGTGGCACTGGTCGGAAGACTCCCTCAGCAGCAGCGGAAGCAGTGCCTACACCCGCGACAACTCTCCCTCCGATGCCTCAGACACCTCCGACTTCACCGACGAGGATGGCGACAGCGAGATGGGCGACGAAGAACGCCTATGCACGCCACAGCGCGAGGTGCCGTACGACCCAGGCTCGGTCGTGCTCACCCCTAGAAAAGGCCGTATGATCAAGCGAGAAGACCGCATCGGGGGCGGATTCGACTTCTGGCAGGAGCAAGACGGCGTTACTCAGCGCCTCGCCTTCAGCGCGGATGGCGAACCCTTGGGACCCGTGGCCGCTGATCCTGAACAACTCTCCCCGGCTGTCTGTTACGTGCGGGACGCAGTCGAAACCCAACGCCAGCGCTACCAGCATGGAAACGACTTGTCCCTTCCAAGTGGCAGCGTCGTGCCCGCACTTGATGATGACGACGACGACGCGACGACGGTCATTATCGACCCCCGTGCAACACCAGAACCAACGCTCTTCCATGGACAGATGCCCATAGTGCGCGTACCGACCCTCCCTGCGGATTACGACTTCCACCGCTCCGGTCCATCCAGGCCCCTTGCGAACCGACTCTCCACCATTCGAGAGGATGGAGAGGCTGGATTCAGGACCCCACCGCGCGCCCCGCAAAGCACCGGAATGCGCTTCCTCCGTGACGCGAATGACCGATGGGTCCGGGAGGGCTCTCTAGGACCAGACGCGGAGTACCAGATCGATCCCGACTGTCTTCCTCCCAAGATTGACCCCGATCAGGCGCCTGCGCCTCAGCAGGCTCACGCTCGCGGGGTCGTTCCTACGCCATTGCGACGCACAGATACCGAGCCGGTACTGAATCCCACCAGTCGGCAGCGGTAGTCGAAGGGCCGCAACGGCGCTGCATTATGCTTCGGATGTTTCTTCGTGTCGTCCAACAGTCTCCTAGAAGATAGGGTATCATGCGCCTTGTCAGCGCATCCTCACATTCCCTTGTATCATGCCTATATGTTGTATATCATTATGCCAACACACCTGTGTCTATGCCCTCCTCTCTTTGTATACGTTATTTTCTTCCGTGTATCCGAGTCTCTGTCAATACTATGTCAATGAATTCTAACCAGTCATCAGGATGATCGGCTGCTTGAGGTTTTGGGCCAGCACGGATCGCGCATTTCGAGGTGTCGCACGGCACATTGACCAAGCACTTCAATAAGATATAGGCAGCAAGAAGTGGTTCCCAAAGTTCGATGCAACGAGAATAAGCCACAACAGAGTCACTGCTAGAAAACGAACGCGCGGTCGGTAGCATGAGGCCATCGGAACCCGCTTTCGGCAGTAGCCGATGGTCCGTGGGGCGACTGCTGCTTTGATTCTTGCCTCAGACGCTGACCACCACCACCTCTCTCTCACCGTCGTCCACGACGTTGCTCACTCTCCGCCATGCCGTCACCTCCAAAGCCTTGGGAGAGGGGCGGTGCTGCAACCACAGCGGCTGCAGCAGCAGCCCCGGCTTCGTCGATCCCCACGGCGGCGCCTACTGCTCAACCATCCACCTCAGCAGCATCCGGTGCATCGACCTCTAACCCTCCATCTGTCCCTACACGTCCGGCTGCATTCTCATCAGCGACCTCCACCGTA